AGAGAAAATAATTGTAAAYCAGATGAAGACTGAAGCAAACTCAGGCAAGGTCAGATATTTGGACTAGAGGGCACGGCTTTTAAAGTGCTGCTTTGGACACATGGCAGCAGAGGTGGAGGTGAAATGGCCAGATGAAGACCGAGGTGTTTAAAATAATGCACAAAAAATGGGTGTGTGTGCTAGAGCAGCAACATGATTTTGTGAAGAAGGCTGTATAAGTAAAGATCTGTAAATGTATTTAAGCAGTGAGGCTGGGTGCCAGAAGAGGGGAAGGTAAGGAAAAACTGGAAAGCAGTTAAATGAGRTTTTGTAAGAGAACTGTGACAAAATACTTCCAGATACATAATGATGATTTTGAAAATAATGGAAATGCASTGAAAAAGTAGGAGCACAGATGAAWGCTGTGTTGGCAGAYTTATAAYATCAGTATTAGGAAATGTTCTTCAGATGTTTATCTCAGGGCCACCTGGAGAGGTAGAGTGAATATAGATCAAAAAGGCCTTTTGAAAGATGAAATCTGGTTAGATTTCAGCTATTGCTGAAAAATGCCTCCCCTTCAGTCCAGCAGAAAGTGGAAGTAATATAAATGCTTGGATTTTGAGAGCCATGACAGACCTGTATGATGTAATAAATAAATAATAATGTAAATTATATTTAATTTTTTAAAGAACTTCACAGCTAAGCAGCAAGCTGAACATTAAACTTAACCAATTTTTGCATGATTATCCTCATGAACTTTATAAACTTTATATAGTGACTACCTCTCTGGAATGTGATTCCTGCTGAACCACTCTTACAAGATTTCCTTTAAATACATCACTATTTCTGTACCTGGATCCATGACTTCCTCTACTTTCCACTTTCTTCTAAAGAAAGGGGTAAAGTCCATGATCAGACCATGGTTTGGAGTGAGCAGACAGGCCATGCAGGTAACCATAGTCAAAGGTAACCATAGGTCAAAGTACAAAGAACTTTGGTCCTAGGAGAATCAGAGTGCAAAGGGACCGTTTAACTGCCTGTCAGCAATAAAACAGGGAGGCAATATATGGTTACTGTGACCTTGGAGATGGAGTCACACACATAGGYAAGCAGACTGAGAAGCTGGAAGCTGTGCAAAGCAGTTGTAGGTTTGTCAGAATGTTACTAAGCAGAGACACCATGATCCAGACATTGCTGAAAGGTTATTTGGTCTGATATGCAAGGGGCCCTAATTAATAATAATGTCAACAGCTTTAAAAGCTTCACAGTGATCTGGAAGTTGCATCAGAGAGAGGTTTGAATTGCATGAGTGAATCCCTGTTTATGTTGTGTATACAGGCGTATGCCTGAGGCAAACTGCCTTGTAAACAAATGTTATATTGGATCAGCAGTATTGCCAAAATATTTACTTGTTTTCYTTCTGAAGTGGTCAGGTGCTTGAAACATCACCTCCATGTTCTTATGGCATAGAGGTGGCCTGAAAGGAGATGAAGAATTAAAAAGAAATAGTAGGAAAGAAATTGCAGGACTTTGGCAAGAGAAGCTAGGATAAACACAATTTTCTCTAGAGTATGACTGATAGGTAAGTAGGCATGGAGGGCAGCGTAGCTGACAGCTCCTTCCGTGTTGATTCAGAGTTTGACTGAGACCTTAAAGACAGAACCTGTCAGTTCCTTGTCAATTTGTTCTTGCCATAGAAATGCTATTCTCCAGTTGTGCTTTGGAGAAGAGAACGTGGTTAGTCTTGAGGCTATTCCAAGTGATAAGCGTTGTTCTCCATAATGTATAAACTGATACTTGATTTTATTCATAATATTGAGTATATTCATAATATTCGTAGTATTTTTATTCATAATATTCATCCTTCTCTCTTGAGAAGGATGTCTTCTCACCTCCAGTTCTGCTTTTTTCTCCTTGCTTAAAGGATATCTGTCAGGAGAGGAACAGTCCCTTTCTTCCCCATCTCTCCTTTGGTTTGATRAGGAATTTTGCTGTTATGTCAGATCTTGAAGGAATACATCCTCCAACATATAAACAATGTACAGAACTTAAATAAACTTGCTGGTGTTACCTTATGGTGTCCCTTTCAGTGAAACAAAGCATAGTGCAATGTCRGGTACTGTTTGGAGACCAGTTAATTGGACAGAATGTGCTGCTCTATGTGTAAGAATTTCAAGAATATTTCCAAGCATGGGGAATGTGATTTTATAAAACAGACTAACRTAAAATCTGCTGACCTTGCCATCAAACCTTGTTCAGTCTGACAAGACTGAAAAGACCACAGAATAGCCTAAAATGAAGGATGAAAATTTTGTCTTTGCAAAAACAGCTCAATTTTCTCTGCTGTGGGCAGTCAGACCTTTAAGAAGCAGTTGTTAACCACTTTTTGTTGCGTATCAGACCTGAAAATACAGGAAGTGTGCAGGACACAATGCCCCAAAAAGTTATCCACCTTCTTTTCTGATGTTTCCTTAGCTTAAGAACAGTTTGAACAAGAGAAAAGGTCTTATGACAAATTCTACTTTTACCTCAGAGTTGAGGCAAAAGAGCAGGAAATCTTGCCATGAAACTGAGTGAATTATAGAAACGGGCAAGAAATTAAGAGGTAGCTGGCAGAATTAACAAGTAGGCAAATGCTGTTTAAGACCACATGCCCTCTGATTTCCTGATTACCTTCTAGCTTTATTTGTTTCCTTTTGGATGACCTTGAAACTTCTTTGTCAATGGAAAGCTAATTTATGAGGAAGTTCTGTTGAGAGCATCTCTGACTGTAAGAATTAAGTTACTTCAAATCCTTTCCCATTCCCTGAAAACCCCAAATTACTCCACCATAACACCTGAKACTCCTAACCCTCCCCTCAGAGGAGTGTTGATTTAGCTGCTGCTGTGTATAAGTTCAAAGCATAGTACTTTTTTCYTAATTTATATCTATATTGTTGTAACAAGTTTTTTGTTTTTAAGTCTATGAAAGCATTTAAWATTTTTCRCTTACCCAAGGCATTACCCCTAATWAAASTAATATATAACTAAAATAYGTTTTAAAAGTCTGTATCTAGACGTTGACCTGTCCAGCTTAGTTTGTTCATTTAAATTGGGTATGCAAAAGCTGCGTAAAATTAAAAATTAATGAAAGTACACARCTGACACAAGAAACCTGGCAAGTAACAATAAACCTCATCAACTTAACATGCAATCATCCTGCTTAAACCCAATAAGCATGCCAAACAGGCAAGACAGGTTGTATTGAGGATGATTCTAGATTATCTTGTTGTAATGCACTAAAGCTATAGTTCRACCAGTTTTATTTTAAAACCAATATTACCATGGAAAGGAGGAGTCCCATGCTTGTGAACTTGCTGTTGGTTTCTGTTGAGTGCTGGTTTCTATATCCTTCTCCACCCCCTTTCTCTGATCCTTCTTGCACTGGGATTACTGGGTGACTGTAGGTGAAGTATCTGAGGAACTCATGTGCATAAGCGGGGGGGAAGCAGGAGGAAAAGCATCTGAGGGCTTTTTTCTACTCAGTCCCTCGATGTTGTTTACCATGCTCACCTGGGATGTTTCCAGTGCTACCCTATACTTGAAACTAGGACGGGAAGAGGCAACTTAGAAGTGTTAAACCAGACACACACCTGAAACATGACACCCTTTCCTCCCAGTGCATCCCTGTGCAGAATTCATGGGCTTTGTGTCTAGAGGAGAATGTTTAGCTGAAATATGCCCCTTGTTCTTGCAGATAGTGGTGTGCAAATAAAACTTGAAAATGGGTTTTACATGTTGCCTCAGAGTTACCAGGGAGCCTTACCTTCAAAACCCATTCCCTACTTTCTTCTTGCATCTGCTTATCATGGGTTCAGCTGTTCTTTCTGTAATTAGCATATCATAGCTAAAGAARCCTCTTACTGGAAAAGATGAGCAGTCTTCTGGAAAAAAAGCGAACAGTCTTCTGGAATTAAAGCAAACAGGCTACTGTTGTTTAAATTAGGTAGTTTGTGTGTACCTATGTTGTAATGTTGATTTCAGTTTTAAATTGGAAAGGTGATGAATCTTAAATTCGTGCAACACAGACTTTCCTAAGCTAATCTCCATGAACATGAATGAATTTGACGTGGGGGGTAATTCAGTATTTTGAGAAGTACGTCTTTTCTATTTATGAGCTGCAGGTACTGATGTAGGAAGAAAATGGGAACACACATACTGGTACTATACATGGAAATTGTGTGGGAATGCCCAACTGCAAGGAAATTCAAAGGATCGGCAAGCCTTACACTATTATGATAGCTCCTTTCTAATAGTAGCATGCATCTACATGACACTTGACAGGTGGGCTAGTTTGAGTACCAAATTAAAAATGGCCCCAGTCCTGCATTTCTGACCAGGGAAAGTCACTCTGAATGAGATGCTGGTGTTGTGCAGTTGCACGAGAAATCCTTTTTCCTGCTGACACTCTGCAGCCACTACTGACACCCTGGGTGAGGTGATCTCATGTGCAGGAACCTCTCTGCTTTGCAGCAGGGGTTGGCAGGAATGCTTTCTGTCTGCTGAATGTGGATGCTGGATCACAGTCTATTTTCAGGAGTAAACACGGAGTACCTCAGAAATCTGCCCTGTAGCTGTAAGCARTAGGTCCTCTCATAACACATTCTGTGAATAGCAACCACTGCAGGGGGGGAGGTAAAAAAAGGATATGGGTGGAATAAACATGGGTTTCATAGGTCTTGGAGTGGGAAACTCATTCTCTATGGACAAATAGATGGCTTCCCTCATTTGTACTAAGAAGCTGATAGCTGGGGTATTTTTTTTCAAGTTTTCAAGCCTTCTGTCATCATGAGTTGCAAGAGAAGAGTAAAATGCCATTTCACATTTGTTTAATATGCTTTTAGAAAGTCATGTGTATTGAAAGTATACCGAAACTGGTGTATAGATCACTTCTGTCATGATCTCTACATTGCATTACAACAATACTGTTTTTTTCAGTTCTGCATTTCATATCCTTACCATTTTCTGTTTCTATCCAATAGGTAAGGCACAGAACTTCAGACCAGGTAATGGCYTTGAAGATGAACACACTGAACAGCAACAGAGCAAACATGCTGAAAGAGGTTCARCTTATGAATAGACTCTCACATCCGAACATCTTAAGGTACACTGGCTTTTTTCTGAACCATACAGAAAAAGGGTGTCTTTAATAGAGCTCTCTTCTTTCCAATCTTTATTTATTTATTTTTTGTTGTAAATCTGTCTGTTGTGAATGCGTTAGGATCAGTTGTTAATGTAAGAGATGAATAGGAGGAAGAAGAAGACTTGAAAGAAGAAAAACAGACATGAACATGATTTTGGTATCTGGAATTTGCTAGTAGTAACTTCTGTCAGAGAAAAACAAGTGCTTGCATTTTAAATTTCTAATGAATCAGTAAAGTGATATGAAGAATGAAATTTGACTTCTTTTTGTGAACTTAAATTATTGCAAATTTAACACTGTACAATTGACTTATGGTTATTAGTCTTACAATTAAACAATGCAAAGTGCCGTAGCTTCTTCCTACTTTAGGTCTGCTTCCCAGTTTTTAGCATTTTCTTATTGCGGTACTACAGAGTGGAATAAGAGGGACTGAAGAAAAGAAGCTAGAGTTTAAACTAATCTRATTTATATGCTCCTGAAAGGAAAAAGGTAGTTCTTGCTTTGCATTAGATTACTGCATGCAAATCCAAAATGTTCCAATGTGTATCTTGTTATTTCTTGAATCATTTTAGCCTTGGTTTCTCTTCTATGAGGATTTGACAAGCAATTAACATAATTGGTTGAAGCCATAACATTGTGAAATTTAAAGATGTGATGACAGTGCACTAAATGACCAGTTCTCCTAAACTGCTGTTACACACCTGGTATCCATTTCTGATTTCAGCTCTTTTTGAGAAGTTCTGGATACACAGTGAATTTTGTTACTTAATTTCCTTTTCTTCACCATTYTGCTGCATAATACAGACATGATGCTAATTCTTAAAATCCTTTATAACCAACTTTTCTGATCCTTGAAATCCCATCTCAGTCTTCATCAACTGATATGTAACAATATTATCCTGTTTGTTTCCTTCAGTATTTATGAGGATGTCTCAGAAGCATTTGAAATATCTATAGGGGGCATTCCATTAGTTCATGCCTATTTTCTTCTTCTTATTTTTCTTAAAACCTCAAAAACCTGTAAACTTCAAGAATTATTACTCACAGTAAATGGCATCAGTTTTATCACAGTGTGTTTACTCAAGTGTGGTACTAATCTGTCCTAATCGCACTTCTTAGTCTGTTTTCTGTGCTCCAAGGTGAGGTTCATTCCAAGCAACTCTTCCTTCTTTATATTGGTTGTTGTCTTTAAAAAAAAAGTTATCTATCTGGTTATTAAGATTTCAGGATCATTAATTGTTTCTTAGATCTCTCTCCCATGTCTTTTCCCTCATTTCTCTTTTACTGAATCCTTAGATAAGCAGTGTATGGCCTTGGGGACTGATACAGCTGATTTGTGGAAAGAGTAACTTTCCACAGCAAGATTGGCATTGTCAGAATCATCAACTCAGCACACTTCCTCAGTTTCTTGATCAACTTTGTGTGGTTGGTAAATCTTACTAAAAAAATCAACTAGCTCTACAGCTCTGTTCAAAATGAAGATTTTAACTTGGGTTGGGGTGAGGGAAAGTAGGAAAGGGATATTTTGACAGGCAAAAAGCATTCAGTTGCATCTTAATGTAACCCTGCCCCCTCTTGAATGGAATTACAGAGGTGTTGCTGAGAACAAAAGTTATTGGTAGCTCAGTCCTGAGTAATTGCTGAAATGTAGGTATCTTGTGATGTAAAAGAGATCATATTTGTGATGTACTGGTCCCCTCTGGCCTGAGAGCCTATGAATAATTCGAAGTCAGCAGTGTTACACAGATGGTCCTGAAGGAAGAACAATAATGCATTGATTTATGTATGAAGCAGAAAAGGAATTTCATTTGGTCTTCTAGTTATTACCCAGGATTGATAGGGAAATCTTTTTCTTTGTATGATCAAGTAAGCAGTTATGAGTGAATACATCAGAAATAAATGACTTGAAAAGAAATGGTTTATGTTTGCATAGTTTGTTTAGAAGAATAAACTACATTTGATTTATGAGTTGCTTGATTTGAGGCTTCTTCAATAAAAGTMGGTTCTCTGGTAAAAAATACTGCCTTTTTCAAACCTATTAGGTAAGTCCCCTTTCTAAAGGGAACAAAGATATTCTGATGGGAAATGCAAATGAGAAGACAGTATGTAGTTTTAGTTTTTTTCTTTTATTGAATTATAATACACAGTAAAAGCTACTGCTTTTCTGTGTAGCAGGTAACTTCATGGTTTTGTGTGTTAATTATGTGTCATTTAAGTTTTTGTTTAAATTCTAGTGCAGTTTTTCCAGTCCCTTTATGTCTGGGAGCAGATTTTGCACCTCTTAAATGTTACCTCAATGTGTCTTACATGCCTCCATATAAACACACACCTGCAATCATCTCTATTTGGGTTTCATGAATGTATAAATCATTGGTGCTTCTACTAGTGTTGTAAAACAACCTGTTTCCTACTTTAGAAACACATTAAAAATAATAATTAATAGTAATTTGCTCTTAAAGTAGTGAGAGGTTGTGTTGCTTGTTTGACAATATTGTACTGTCAGATAAGAGCAGCTGGAGTTGTATTGCTGAGAAATCTTTAGGAAGATGTTGTACAGCAACACGTTCCCACTGAAATATTTTCTGTGATTATTTTTGGAAATTTTAAGCTTGTATTAGTATTTAAAGGGAACATCCTCTTCTGAGACGATCGAATAGATAACTTTTCCAGGGCCTATGAGCTATCTCAGTTTGCTGTTAAATATTATTTTCTTCACTTAATTTCTTTCCTTTGAAGTTGTTCTATATTACTGAGTAAGGTGTTTTGTGACTAGCATCAAGTTCACTTCTCTGTTGATTAGTCACTGGATTTCCTCCACATGCCTGAAGGTATACTCTGGTTTTTATGTAAAATATCTCTGAGCTTCTTCATCTTCTCTGAGSTCTGGGACTACCTACTGCTAACTTACACTGCAAACAAGTTTCTTTCCTTCCTGTTGTTAGCCAGTGAAGATACTAATGGGTTCTTAGGCTGAAATGTTKAGATCATATTTTGTAGTGGTTAATTGTAGCAGGTGAGAGCTGCAAGGTGCTCTGCTGTCCAATGGCTTGTAAAATTATGAAACTGGATAGATACTGGCTTTACAGCCTCCAAAATCTACTCTCAAACCATTTCAACATGTGCAGTGTAGCAAGTTAATGTTTTAGAAAGTGAATGTCAGATTCAGCAATGAGGCAYTTATTTTGCTATACTGAAATCTTCCTTACGCTGAGAGTGTTGTTGTGTTTTTGAACATCCTGATGCTTAATACCTAAAATTTGTTATTGAATCAGTGGTTTTGTCCCAGAGCTCTTCTGTAGTTTGTATGAACTAAGTGTTATGGAAGGGAGAAGAGGTTCCTCTTCCTTGTAGAGCATTTGGTAGCCTAGGATCATTATTATCCTTTGGGTGTTTAAAAAAATCCATCCCTTTGCCAGTGCTCTAAAATATAGAGTAACTTTTTACAAGCTGTCAATTCCAATGTGCTCACAGTTAACTTCAGGGCTATATTGCAAAGATTTTTGCCGTTGATTGCACTGATGTGCATAATAAATATTACTGACTATTTGAAACYGCTTTTGCTTCTGTGTTGTCCATTTCAACTCCTTTTCAGAGTTACAGATGCCTTTTGAGGTTTTTATCCAGACYCTGTTCATTGTTCTGGAGTGTGAGTTCATCAGTAGTTGCTGACTTCCTTCCATTTCTTGGCTCGGTAGAGAAAGGCCTGTGTTTTTATCTTGCTGTCGCTTTTGTACATCTTGAGGAGATGGAATTGGGTCAAGGTGTTTCAGTTTCTCTTGGTGAGTTTCAGTTTTGCTTGGTGAGGTACGGATCTGGGTATTTGAGCTTTAAAAGCAACATGCTGTTTTCACCATTGACTGAAAGRCTAACTTTGAATCTCCACACTCATTTCAGTATTTCTCCACTYAAATTCTGCTCTTGGCCAGCTGTATAGATCCATCTTGATTAGAARACAGATGTAAGTGAAGAGCTTAGTTTTCACTTACCAAGTCCCCAGTAAGTCTACTGTCCCCATGGTAGAATCATAAAGATTCCAGTGGTCAAATATATGTGTATATAAAAATTTCTAATGCATTTTCCATGAAGAAAATGAGAAACTGCCATCTATTAGAGGATTTATTTTGGCAAAAATGTGACTTCTTTTTCAGTCTGTTAAGTATATTTTRGAATAGAAGGCTCCAGCTCTTGCAGGTACACAGGCATGATGGTAAAAAATAAGGGGATTTGGAAATTTTTTTTGTYTCCCTTCCTCTTGTTTCCTGCTTCAGCTAGCAGATGCGATTCTAGAGGCAGAGTGTTTGTCATCTACAATGTAGCAACTTTTTTTTCCATCACTGTCTGGTGTCCTTAACAAACTATGAGAGTTGCTTATCTTTTTGTTTTGCTATTTTTTCCCTGTTAGTCCAGATCCAGGTTAGGGACATTTTAGGAGTGGGCAGGACAGAAGCAGATGAATGGTGTTCAAGGAGTGTTTTATTCTGTTTCTACTTCAACYTCATCTGTCTCTGTCTCACTCCTGCACGCAAGTTAAACATAGAGAACTGAAATGCTTTTCTACCTCTGATATACATTTCTTCCTGCTTTGGATTTGGGATATGCTAGTTTTATCACATCTTTGCTCAGACAGATGGTGAGAGGAGTTGTGGAAAAGTCAGCTGGGGTTGGGGTTTGTACTATGTGATGTTTACTGTAGCCACAGTTTAGCTGATTATGSCAAGACTGTAATTGCTGGGGTTAGGGAAAACGGTGGTTTAGAGCATTTCTCCATTTCCTTATTATCTTGTGTCCTATTTAAAATGCAGTGCTGTTCAAAGGTTAGGTTAGATCAGGTGCCATGGTTATGCAAGGTCTGGGGTATACCTGTAAATATGTTTTACCATTTTGCTACTTCTCTGCATGCTGATGKGCTGCAGTAGTCATGAGTTTTTACCCAAATCAAAGTAAGAAAATAGGTCTGTAAAGGACCCAGAAAATYTCCATCCTTGTGTCCTGAGCTGGGAGCCTTCAGGCTGCAGCTTGAGAGACCTGATACCTTTTTTTTTAGTAATATTTTATAGGTGTGTTTTTCTCATATTCACAAATTGAGTGTGCTAAAAAAAGATTCTCCGTTTCTTGTGCTGCCTCTTAAATTATTGTATCTTCCATTTTGAGGTAGAATTTCAGTCTTTAATATCACTATTGTTTGCATGAAGAAGTATTTCTTTATTTGATCTGTACCTTGGGGATTTAATTTAAAACATTCTCTACACAGAAAGTCTTAGCTCATGTCTTAAGTGTTCTTGTGGGAGCACTTGGAGGTATTGCTGCGTGTTTGGCTGTGAGCATGCAGGCAGATTGACTCATTGATTAAATCCACCTTCTTGTGTGTGCAGGCACACAAATAAGCAYACTGTGTGCATATTGCATGAACTCCTTTCAAGGAGAATTTTATTTCATCTCCTTTGAGACAAATATATCACCCTGGGAACACAATACCAGGGGTTTTTTTGGTGTGTAGTTTTATCCTTTCAAACCTTCCTTTTTGTGAAATTGCTTTTGAGGGACTTCCTTACAATAGCCAGAAGGATGAATTTTGTCTTTCAGGATCCTTTGTCCTGTAYTGAACAGTGCTTTAACAGGAAAGAAAATTACATTTGCTTCTCTTTGTGTAATGTGGCTATCAAAAAGGAATATTTTAGTAATACAGYGTGCAGGGCAGCAGAAGTGAGGCAATGTGTTGTGTATAATATGTTACAGAAATGGTAGACTAAATGCYTTATCTTTGTCTAGGATCAAAATGCAAGTGTAGAAAACTTAAAATGCATTTTTAATCTAGCATGGTGCTTTAAACATTAAGGAGGGCCTTAATGCAGACTTAATATTTTTACTCACCCTCTTCCAACGTTCAGTGCAATTAAATAAGCAWATGTCTTCTGACCTTTTGTCTTTGTTACTGAGCTTGTTTAGAGACTTTGGCATTGGTGTGTTTGGTTTGTTTCCTTTGTTTAACATTATCAAAGTGCTGAATTTTCTCATATAAGCAGAAAATTTTGGAGGGCATCAATTTCTTTTGTTGAACTGTAGCTGCCCCAGTTTTATCCACAGAACAGGAATGTGTCCCAGTGAGGTTCTTTTAACTGGAAGCATGTGTTCAGTGTCTGGATATCCACAGAGGCTGTATGGTCTGGATATTAGTTTTGCTTGATAAAGTAAGGCACAAATTGCAGACTGAGGCTATAGTATTTAGACTCCCCTTTTCTGTCCAGGATTTTCTTGTTTGCCATCTGACTGAACTGAAAGCAGTTTGTGTAAMTGCTGTGAAGGACTAATAAATATTCAGACTTCGCTTGGTCTTGTTTAGGGAGGACAGGTTTTCCAGACTGATTGTTTATAAAGGTAGACTTCCAACATCTGTGTAGATTGCTGACATTTGTTAGAAAGCACTTGGTGGTGCAAATKTGCTACACTGTATTTAGTAAGGTCRACTCAAGTGTCATTCTTTCTATTTGCAGCTTCTAGGAAAACTTTTTCAACCAGATTTTGGAAGTGTTTCAGATTGCTGATAAGGCCAGATATACTGTCTTGAAAAGAAAAAAAAGAAACTTCCTTAAATCTGCGAATGGTCTCCTGTTTTGTGGATGAATGGCTTGTTGGAGCTCCTTCCAGATAGAAATGCTTATAGGAAGTGTAACCTTTGGCTGACAAGACATTCTGCTGAAGTTCACCTACAAGCATATTTTGGCTCAGGAGACATTGTGTCTAGCCAACAGGAATAATCTCAGCTGTGCTGGACCAGCATGTCAGCTTCCTATCCGCAGAACTTGGAATCTCATCTGGGGCAATCTCAGAAATTGAAACCATGTTAAATCTTGCTTGGTAATTGTATTTCCCGGTAGCAGCTGTGGTTATTATCTTTTAGTGAAAATCCTTTCCAAYGATGTTTTGTAGCAGTTCTTGGCTTAACCAAGTGGCTTATTATTGCTTGATAAAACAGCTAAGCAGTTTTCCAGAAATTTGGATCACTTCAGGTCTATTCTCTCAATCTATTTTCCAGAGCCTGAAAACTGAGATTCATTCACACAAAGTTTAAATGGCTTCAGTATGTTGCTTGCRAACTCATTAATTCTGTCTTTATCGCTGTATCTGGTTTCTCTTTTCCTGGGTAGTAGTTTCTAAATATATGGAGTTTATAAATATACCTTTAAGTCCAGCTTTTTTTCCATGAAATGATGATATGGAGCTTTGGTTTTAATTTTTGATTTCAWGCTAGAAATTTGTCTGTTTCTTAAAATTCTTGAGAATTTTTAAACTCTTAGTAACTTGATTCAATATGTCTTTGCTGCCTTAAGCATAGGTTCACAAAGTGAATTAATGTGTTTCCTCTGAGACTTCCCTTAACCAAAACAGGTTGGCAGAATGTGTTAGGTTCTACCAAACTTTAAGTAACAGTGATATTTTTCCTGTGTGGTAAAGATGAGACAAAAAATTGAATTTTTCCAAAATTTGATAAATTCTTGAATGCATTTGTATTGTGGAATTAAGTCAAATATAATGAATTCTTAATTTGTCAGTAGTGTGATACACCTTTACAAAGGAAGAATTGATATATAGGTGAAAACATTATTATTTTAAATTACTTAGTTTTTGTTGATTGAAAATATTGCCATAGCAGGTTAACTCTGTGTAATTGATAGAGAAAATAATACTTTGAAAAGTTGCCTTATARGGGAATTAATACATTGCAATGGTGTGTTTTCCATTTTTGCTGGTGAATAAAGTCATTAACACCCCACTGATAGCTCTGGAGACGTTCAGAATGCACAAAGAAATAGATTTCTGCTTTATAGAAGTCTGGGTTTCTTCATCTCAGGAAGCTTAATTTGTCAACTTCTTTACAAAATTGCTCATATGCCCATTGCTGTATGAAGTGAAATTCAGAAAAAACAATGYTTTGGGTAGATGGCATATCTAAAAGAAGCTTCTTTCCTTTCCTCTTGAGTACCTAATCTTGCCCTATGATTCTACATAAAACAAGAGGAATTGGATTTTCAGTGTCTCTCAAATGAAAATTCCTGTATTCAGAGAATATTGTTTGAGATGAGAGCAGGCGTTAGATGTTCCAATACAAGTCTTGCTGCTTCTTTGGTTATAAAAACAGATTTCCACAGCTCAGCTTATGCAAAGGACCTWACCTATATTATTTTTCTTTGGCTGCTTGTAATTTACCAGTCAGCTGTTAGACAAGAGAACAGTGAGGATCATTCATTTCTTCAAAAGCAGCTTAGCTGAACTAACACTACATGTCTTGCATCATTTTGTTTTTAAATTCGGAAGTGTTTCAGGATATAAAAGGTCCTTTTTCTCTGAATTGTTCTCCACAAGATTCCTGTCACATTTAATGAGATCAGCGTGTCTACCTCTTACTTGCAAAATGGAAATTTCTGAACATTATGGAAATGACAGACAATTGGTTTTTGCTTGCCAAGACCGAARTCTAAATGCTAAACCTGAGAATTAGTTAATCTGTAGAGAACAAACATTTGAACTTCACAGGGAAGGCTCTAAAGTGTTTAAAATTTAGCTTTACTGAACTTTCTCGTGGGAGATGTTTACTACTAGTATTCATTTGCCTTTTGTCACTTTTAAGTTCAGCTTGTATGATGATAAAAATGAACTTTCAATTGTTTCATGCTCCTTAAGTATATGGCACATTATGTTGCTTTCCAGGAGAATCAAGGGTATGAATCACTGCTATTAACAGCAGGAGTCTGAATATTGTGCAGTGTAGGTAACATTTGTAGAATGTGTGTGTACTGTTTACTATTGAAATGTACTTCAATCCAAGTGTTGGAAAGAGGAGTTTGGGGAGGGGAAGTGTACGTTGCCTATATGCCCTCATATTCCTGAGTGGTTAAGGATGGGATAGGAAGAAACATCTTTATGCTTAAACAGCAGAATGCAAAGGGAAGTAATTTTYTGTTTGTGCAGACCATCAGTAGATTACTTGGCTTAAACTTCCTTAAASCAGAGCTCTGAGACTGTTCCTTTCTGCATAAATCATTATATGCTGGCCTTTGCTTGCAGTYAAATTAATAACTTTCCATTTTGAGGTTGAGCTGTCTTCTGTGCTCTGTTGGAACTGCTAATTCAAATGATATTGTAGTGTAGATATATGATTTTGTTTTTTGSTGAGATGTTTAAACAATCAACAGTGAGGTATGCCGTGTCTGTAAGGCTGAATTTTTTCTCTTTCCTCCTTTTTTGGTGTATCCTATATTAGTTTCTTTAAAGAACRAAGAAGAGGGGGGGAAGAAAGCCCAAACCACTTTTCTTTTCTTGTTTCTTGTAGGTTTATGGGTGTCTGTGTGCATAAAGGACAGCTGCACGCTCTTACTGAGGTAAGACTATTTCATAATATAATACTGAATATGAAATGTTCAGTTTTCAGGACAGATTCTGCAATTGCCATTCACCTTGAGTGAAGTTTCTTTTATTGTGACTGATCAGTTAATCACTCACTATTTGATGTGCAAAGGGAAGACTGCAGAATCAGTCCTCAGAACTCCACTCACAGGCCTTGAATGTCTTTTGTCCTCAGAAGCACATGTTAGGGTGAAAAAAAAAATCACATTAAGAACACAAAACTCCACTGCTAATGTTCTAAACAAGAGATGTGCATTACCATTGAGCTGCTCCTAGATATTATTTGTTTCAGTGGYATTGCATTGTATTTAAGCCTTATTTACACTCCAGTTGTACATTTTACAAGTGAATCTATAACATTTCAGGTGGTTCATATTATTGTATTCAGTCCCTACACTTTCATTCAGTCCCTACAGCTTGATCTGGGTCCCATAAAAAGGAACTATTCCATTGCCCATGTACCCTGGCCAAGATGTGAAGCTGAAGTTTTCATTCATAGTTCCTGCCCAGCTTTATTGGGTTCTGTGTTTAATGTCCCTGTAAACTGCTCAGGAAAAACAAGAAGTAGTATTCTCTTATTTTAAATAGTGTTGCCTGTTTTGAGTCAAAATCAATAAAATGCTTTGCCTGTTGTGTTAGTTTGAGTACAGACTGAAAGGAAACTCATGATTTGTAAAGTTAATGTTTACTTCTGTTTTGTAAGAACGACTCAATTAAAAGATTAACCATTTCCCACCCTCCCAAAGATGAGGGTTATTAATTGGCAATTCAAGCAGGTTCCTGGTATGGGGTGCTTGCCAAGAACTACTGTAAAATGAGGAGACTGGGGASCTGTATGCCATTTAGCAGGGTATGTGTCACCATCACTTTCTGTAATTTACATATGTAACTCTGAGGCAAAGATGCACATATGTGGGCAGTGAAATTCTTCACCTTCTGGGGTGGCAGTTTTGCAATTCTCATTCTAGCTACTATTGGAATGTTGCACTCTAGTTCAGCGTCTGTCTCTTTCCAGTGTAAGAGTAAAGGTAAAGACACTTGCAGAAATTTCAAGATACAGCATGTGTGAGCACTTTGATATGACAAGGACATTTTATTTGATTTTTTTTTCCCTCCCTGTGCTCAGTAGAGGAAACATTTCTAAGATGGCTGATCAAGTTTGTCAGGCAGGCTTTGCTAACATTATTGCTGATTTCTTTTGGATATCTGATCGATTAAAACAGARAAGTTTTGGGCCATTTCACATGCTAAAGACTATCATAGAAGAGGTGGAGCTTCATAATGCTTTATCATACTAAAACTTGGCAGATTTTGCTCAGTGTGGGTTTTTTTTTGTTTGGTTGCTTTTTTTCCCTTCCTTCACAGCAGTTGCYTACCCCACCCAAAAAGCCAAGAAAATGAAAACAGCACAGATGCTTCCTCATAGTGAGCTAACTTTGTAGCTGTTGCTTTGTTCAGCTATTTTTGAGTTCTTGGCAAGCAAATAAATCTAAGAAAGACTTCAAAGAATAACTTTTTATAGTTATAATTCAGAATAACAGAAGAGATTCCYGAAGAATCTTGAGACSAAAAAGGAAGTTTTAGACTGTAGAWGTTTGCTGYAACWTCTTGAGAAACAGAATAGCTTTAATGACATATTATGAAAGTATAATTAGTGATTACTGCTTTTCTTCTGTGGACAAAGGTGGGCATTTAATACCTTCAGTAGGAAAACCCATGACAGAAATTGATGTTGTAGGGAATCCACACACATTTTTACCCAGTASTATAGTTGACTTTGGCTTTACAGAGCCTTTAAAAGTTAAAAACTGTATATGTTTCAAATKGTGGAATTAATTGTCTTTTCTAGCAACAGTAGTGGCATTTTTCATCTTGAAGTTTGTGTAGAGTAATAGTTCAATTCTGAAGACTACTGGAGGTTGGAGAAGGGGGCTGAAGTGATGAGCTGAAGGAGTTATTAGCAAGACAGACAGGGTGAATCACCAGTTCAGATATAGCCCAGGAGGATAAACAAATCGGCCACTGTCTCGTGGCTTTTTTCAGCTTGTGGTCCAGAAAGGTGGTCTCCTTGCTTCCAGTACTCAGCATAATTGACACCAGCCTGGCGCTACAAGTGCTCAGAACTTCTGCCAAGGTTTCACTTCTTTGGAGATGAAACTGTTGATTCAGAGGCCCATTGGTCAATGGTGTCTGAGTCACTGCAGGGAGAATCCTCTYGCACTCGCCTGTGCTGGACCTGTTCTGTGAGGAGCTTAATTATCCCTTCTTATGTTTTGAGAGTACAGTTGATGATATGCCTGGGTAAGAGGGATACAGCMTCACTTAGAGCTTATGTCTGAGTGTAGCATGATGGGAAATCATGTTTATTTTATGTATGTATATATTTCCATAACAGAAGAAGTTGAGAACTTGTGCCAAATATTTGGTGACTGGATTTAGGCAACTGGTGCTATTAACAGGCGGGGCAACCACAAATGGGGTTRGAGGAGCCTTGAGGATTTTGTAAGCCTGTTAAGGGGCTATGTCAGTAATATGCAACGCTTTTGTTAGTGGAAGGCAGAGTTCTTTTCTTGCAGATTTATTTTCTTGCATGTTTACATACAAGAAGAAAAGATTTCTTTTCTTGCATGTTTACAGATTGAGGAGGCAGTCATGCAGAGCAGGTTTTTTGCTAGAGAAAGGTGTTAATCTTATGTATGCCTTGGGATTTTCCCTTTTGGCAGCATTTTGCATTGTTTTAATTTTCCTCTCTCAAGTGGCTTTTGTTTTTAAAACTCTTGAGCAAGAGGCAGTTTCTGTTTGTTTTGGTTTGGTTTTTTTCAAAATAAGAATGGAATTGTTTAATTATAGGCTGCACTAGGACTTTGGCCTTGTTCTGGATCCACAGTCTTATCAGTTTCGATAATCCAATATTGTTTTTGAAGTTTTCGAGCCAGAAGCTATGGCATATGCCTCTTCTGAAGTAATTCAGTATCCTCAGATTGACAGGATCTAATCTTAGGCTGCCAAAGACCTCTATCCCTGCAAGCACTAAGTTAAGAAACCTTTAAGGAAAGCAAAGTAAATGCTTTAATAGGTGTATCACCCAGATGAGCTGGCAGGCTTTAGACTGCCTCACTAATGTTGAGCTCATGAACACGGATTTACTGTGCTTGTTTTCGCTAAAACCAGAAACTGGGTATTCCTTTCTCAGCATTCAGCTCTAATCTGAAGCTGCTGGTTTGTTTCTTTAGCTACAGGAATCTGCAGTGCTTCCTGCTGTACTCACATGCCTCTCCAAACTAATTTTGGCCTCTCCCTTAAGCCTCTCTGTGTATACCAGCCACTTTCCTAATCTGACAACTCTCTTCACTTCCATTTCCTGGCACGCAGCAGCATCCTAAGTCTTGGAGAAACTTGCATTGTAGTAGAGGCTCTGTTGTCAGCATGAGATGCTGCTGAGCATTCRGGGATCAGCTCAGAGCTGCTGCAAGGTAAGAGACAGACAACGTGTGCTCAGGGGATGTGGAGCCTGAGCCAGAGTGGAACAGCCATGGCTCAATAACAATTGTGCTTGATTTTATCCCACACACATTTACCATGGAAAGGCTGCATGAGCAAACATCCATTTTAGATGGGAGGCAAACAAATTGATTTGTGTGTTGTAGTTTTTGTAGGCCTGTGGTATTATACTGAAGCAGATAGTGTAGCAGCATAAAGTCTAGCATATAAAGGGCACTTCATTTCTTCTTGCAGATCTTAAATTTTTTGTTGAACTCAGTTAAACAGGTTTATCTGAATTTCGAAGAGACAGGTCAGGCTAATATCTTGTTCTAAWGAGATGTATATTTATATATGCACAGAACGAGTCATACAGCTTGATAATTCCTTCTTGAAGGAAATGAAAGCCCTTGCAGCTGTATGTTAGAAGATGAGGAATGGATAGTTATTATGTATTGATTGGGATATCTTGAAATTGCAGTGCTTTGGAGACAATGGTTAATTGTTGCAACAGAAGTTTTATGGCTATTAATTCATACTGGATGATAGTAAAAAAGTGTGCTAATGCACTGCTGCTGCAATCTGAAGCTGTAAATTTGCTTGTTCAATGAGGGATCTGACATGCATTGGGGCTTTCTCAGGCAGAGAGCAGGGCTGTTGCAGTGTGATAGGAGCATGTGGTTGGTGATGGACGGGTAGGACAGAATTATTTCAGCCAGCAGCTGGATCTGCTGTCTGCCTGACATGCTCTCCTGAAGTCTTTCAGGTTTGATCCCTTGCTGGTGAACTGTGGAGTCAGGAATATCTAATACCACACCAGAGACTTGGAATGGAATCAGAAGGGCTAAGTGTAGTTGGGCAGCCATGGTTTTCAGGTGCTATCTATATGGCAGTGGGACAAATGCTATAGCTCATCTTAATGAAAATGCCCATGTCCTTTGAAGAGAGGAATTTTTTTTTTAAATAAGCTTCTTCTGTGATAACTGGAACCTTCCCTTCCCTTCTTTCCCTCCCAACAGCAATAMTTTAAGTAAATTATAAAAGCAGTTAGTAGAGTTTCAGGTTTTTTGATATCTTCCTTTTTTTCTTTAAAAAGGAATTTTTAGTTTTTCTTTGGAAAGCAATTTTGCTTTTGGAGATAGCACTGATTAGAAAGAAAAATACTAAAAGCTTAAAAATCAGAATTGTTTCAGTTGTGCTGAGTTGGCCTTTTGCAAGGAGTAGAAAGTAAGTTCTTAAGGTGAGAAGGGTCTTCTGATATACCGTTCACACAAGCAGAACCTATTATTAAAACTATTTAATTTTTCTTTCTAAATTCTTCCCCTCAGTTCTTGGTTGTCTTTCTGTGGAGAGCCTTTGACCCTRGAATGGAGAAAGCCAGACATTATTTAGGTCTCCTCTTCTGAACCTTTATGCTACAGTTGCAGTTGTAGTCATAGATTGCCTTCCAGRTGGCAATTGCACACTTGTGAGGGTTTTAAAAAGGCCTGAAATA